TCATGTCAACCTCTACGCAGATGAGCTGCCCAGGGAGACTCTGGAGCAATGAACACAGAAGAGGTTCCTTTTGACTATAAAGACCCTGGGCCAGAAAAGCCTACCTCATCAAGCCTCATCCAGCAAGCCAAAACCCAATCAGGCCCCCACAGCCTTGGGGACTGAAGTGGGTGTAGTGCTGAGGATAGAGAGTTGGCATTCAGAAACCTATTTCTCTATCCAAGAAGTTAGCTACGAACTGGAAATGGAGAGAAACTAATCCCACATAAAACTTCAGTTATTTTATAGCTTGTCTCAGCGTAAGACCTGCCTCCTATTCCACAACCTTTCTCTGCAACTACGCAGACTCTTCGATAATCTAACCCTGCAATTAAAGAACATTTGAAAACACGTCCACGCATTTTTGCTGCTGGCCTTAAACACAGTCTTGGCAACACAAAAGAATGAATGCCCCCTTTCAGGAACTCCCTAACACCAGAGAATCGCTGAACGGGTTAGAGATGTGTGCAGTGCAAACTTCCTTTCTGTTTCATTCCCTTCTAATTGCTTGGTAGGAAGAGAACATTTTAAAATGGTAACATGAATTGACAGGTGGAAGTCACGGGGATCAAGTTACTGATCCAAGTTTAGATGTCATTATTTTAAAAAAAAGATTAAGATGTTGAGAAACTCATTTGAAGGGCATAGAAAAAAAAGTAAAAGCAGGTTTAAGTCAGAAAATGATGAAAATTACTTCAGAGTAGGTATATTTTTACTTACATGAATTAAAATCTTAAATAAATACTCACATACACATTCATATCCCAAACTCAGTTTGGCAGGCGGTTCGAGTTGCCATCTGGGAACCAGATTCCTGAGAAATGACTTTACAGTATTGCCACAAAATCAAGCATCCTTTTGAAGCTCCAGAGAACAGTTAAATCCCTAAAATATCACTTTGAGCCTCCTTTATTTTCATGAGAGAAATATGTTAACACTAATTGTTTCCAACTACTGTTCCTTTGTCAACTAGTATGCGTAAAAAAAAATCAATTTTTGTACCCTCCCTTTGAGAGACATCTTCTAAAAACCAAAACATTTTAAGTTACCATTTACACCTAAAATATCAGTAGCCTAAAGGGAAGCGTAATTCTATACTTGAAAATAATTTTTCTTCGCATAACTGCACTAGCGTGCTCAAGACCGTGGCCATCCTGCAATTGTATTATGAACAGAATGCGTCTGAGGAAGTGCTAAAAACTGGCTTGGAATGATAAGGGGGTAGGGAGAAGAAACATGTTTACAATCTGTTCAAATTCTCAGCTTAAAAATTTCAATATATAATTCGTTAGAGCAATGGTTTAAATATGGGATGTTGTTTCAGAGCCAAGTTGCTAAAAATATAATTAAAACCTACTGTAGTCAACTCCGCCTTTCTGCCAACTTTGATTCCTCTAATAAAGGACAACCTCTGAACCACTCTGTCAAGTGGACTTCTATGACAAGCAATTGCTCGGTGCCACTGAGTGACCAGATGCCACCCCAAAGAGCATGACATTTGCTATGGGACTCTCCAGTGTGCTGTGGCATGATGTTGGGGTCACAGTGCTTCCTCTGCTAAAGCCTTCTGTAGAAAGTGTGCAAAGACAGCTCCGTAGGAGTCTCACCGCCTCTTCTCTGTGGATTGTGTTTCTGAGTTCAGGACGGATATTTAGGGAATGGTTAATAATAATGATGCCGTTATTCACCGGTGCAGAAGCTAAATTTCACGGCCTTAGTAAGTGTCTTGACCAGGGCAAGTTCAACCTCAATCTACCGTAACTCATGAAGGCAAACTCACAGACTTGCTTTTCCTGTTGGGGGAAAGAGCAGGTCAAGATGGATCCTACTCATTAAAGTCAGGAATGTCAAAATATAAGTATTAATGGATATTTGAGTCCATGCAGTCCCAAAATAAATGAATAATTCAAACATGCTTGAAAATGTTCAAACTACTTCCTACAAGAAGTAATAGTTAGAACATTTAGATCACATATTAATATGTATAATTATAGAAATAGAAGGAATACCCTAGTTCTGTTTGACCAGTGGAAAAGTTTTTATTGCAAAGTAAATTGCAAATCTATAGTTGCTGGAAAATAAGTTTTTATAGTTAGGGTCTGGATTTTTTTAAATTAGTGAAGAGCAACAGCTCTCTAAATTGGTTGTCTCTGCTCCTGCCACTCATTCCTATCTCACAAAACTCTCCTGGGCTCTGTGTGCCACCGTGGTTTTTTTTTAGTTGCTGCCCTCTCACAAGAAATACCTCCCATTTGCCAGCATGGAGGCTTATTGACCGAACTCTCCTATTTGCTTTCAGCATGTCATGCAAACACGCTTGGTAGATCACACTCGCAGCATGTCTACGAACTGTTCAGGAAGCCTTACCAGACGAGCTCTGATAGAGCATTTAAAATAATTGAGTACTTTGCCCCATTTTTGCTATTTTTAATGTATACAGATGAGCAAAAATACACATTACTCACACTCAAGAGATAATGAGCTTTCCTTTTTAAATGGTCAAACATACTAACACGGAAATACATAAATTATTATAACAGTATGAGCAAAAAGTTACATTTTAGCAGAATATAATGTCAGTCAGTAGCCTTCATTTCCACATGATTAACTTGCAGGCAGAGTGGAAATAAGGAATTTAAAGTCTAAGTCAGGGTTTCTCAACCTCAGCACCACTGATATTTGGGACTGAAAAATTCTTTGTTTGGGGGACTATCCTGTCCACTGACGGGTAGTTAGCAGCATTCCTGCCCCACGAGATGCTAACAGCACTCCCAGCCCAACTGTAGTGACAAAACTATCTCTCAACCTTCCCAAACGTCCACTGGGGGAACAAAACTGTTCCCAGTTGAAAACCACTGGTCTAACCAACACCAAGTCCTTTAATCTACAATAATGATAGGACAGGGTCTGACCTATAGAACTCCCTGCATTATATTAAGAAAACTGAAAACTAAGAAATACATGGATATTTGTAACCAATAATTTGTTTCCCCATAAACTTGCTTCCTTTTATAAAACTGCTATCTCCGAGCAGAAGAACTACAGCCAACATTTTTGAATAAGCCACTTGTCAGCTTGCACAGGTCTCGTGAACGGCGGGGGGGGGGCGGCGGCGGCTGGGCTCCTGGCTTCTGTTGCGGTAGACCCAGGGTCAAGCCCTGTGCTCTCTGGTCCAAGGAGACAGAATTATGAGGGGAAATGTTCCTAAGCAGAGCCCAGGCTCTCAGGCATTCCTGCTAGTACTACCTAGGCACACCTTTATGAACTTGTGGTTTCCACTGAAACAAGTTGTTCTGCATACTTCCTACTACAGCTCTAACTATGTGACCTCCCAGTTTCAGTTTGTCAGTGATTTAATTTCCTTCGAGACTGAACCCAGGTACTGATTTTTTTTCCTAAACGCTTTAGACCCAACATCTCATGAAGCCAGCTCCAGCCAGGTTTTGTTCAGAGCATTTTTGGAATTAGAAGCCAACAAACATGTTTTGCCTAATCAGTAGCCTACTCAAACATCTGCTACAGAGTTTCAAAACCTTCTATGATTTGGGTGGGGGTGTGGGGATGTTTTCCTTAAGTTGTCCTTGTTCATTAAGAATAAAGCACTTTCTAAGTGAAAACTTTATTTGCCCATCAGATAAGTCTCTAGAGAAGGCTGATCAGGAAAAATAAATCAAAGTCATCCATGCAGTTATTTTCATGGATATCAAGCATGATCTCACAATACTGCATAAGTAAACATGCCATTTTGGTGATGAAACTTAGGAACAAACTATCTTCCAATTAATCAGAAATGCAGACAGACCCATCCCTGCTATGCACTTACCAAGGCTGTGTAATTTAGAAATGCTAATTCAACAGAACTAGAAGCATGTAAGTTCAAAATGGCTTGTTTAAAAATATGTACTGTTAGGCTTTGAAAATATGAATTTTATCTGGACTTTTAGCTTTTACTACTAAAAGACCATGCGTATTATGATACTTATACAGAGGGTTACTTTTCTTTAAGAAAAATCATTGGCCATTTTTAAGATTTTACCATCAATTCTTAAATACCTTTTAAAGCTATTACAACAGGATATCAACCATATAAACTAAATCTTTGTCTAAAATGGTAGAAACTAATTTTTCCATTTCTATTATTTCTACGGCTATAATAAGTTGTTTATATTCTCTCCTTTTAAAAAATGTTAATTAGCTTTAAAGGCCATGATAAACAGGTAGTCATTCCTACAAAATTAAATCATTTTCCTGTCACGATTATCTGGTAACACAAGTTTATTCTGACTCACTGAAAGCAAATTAGATTTATAGGGGGGAAAACAATCTCACAGGAGCTTAAAACCAGATTTCCTGAAACCATATACTCCTACATGACACCATTTTCCATCTAAAACACAAAAGAAACACCTGCGCATGCTTTCACCCCCCACTTTCACTTTCTCATCTATACTATTAAAATAGTGAAAAACAGCTTATTTTTAGAAATCATCCACAATTGACAAGGTCATTAGCACTCCACGTTGGTGCCAGTCACCACTGCCTTCCAAATTACAAAAGAAAGTCTCTTTAACCACTGTCCCAGTCTCATTTTTGTTAGTCTTAATTCCAAATATATAAAGACCACATGTTTACTCTATAAACTGTAATATAACCTGTAAAGTCACTCTATAACGTGTACCCTCACCATTAGCCACCAAACACTACCATGCTGGACAAACATTAAAATATAAACGACCATTTTAGTTAGTATAGAGATTTAAAATAACAACATGCCACGGTCTCAATTACAGACAGCTTCACATTCACAATCCCTAAGCTATTTTTTAAATAATCAGTTTTGGAATGAGAACAGGGAAGACGGAGGAACGATTTTTCAGTAATCATAAAATCTCAGAAATTCTTTGCACTTCAGCCACAAGCCATAAGCTGAAAAAAATGTGTAACAAACCAGTGAAACTTACCTGACAGTGACTCGGTTTGATAAATCCTGGAGATCCCCAGGATGGAAAAGCTGGGCTTCTTTCAATCCAATCTGTTCACAAGCTTTCAAAAAAACGTTTATATTATCCTGTGAAAAGAAGTGGAAAGTGATTGCTTAGCCGAGCTCTCTCTCAAACAAAGGGTACAAATTTTTATGATAGAACTTCTAGGCTTCAAAGTCCAATTATAGCCAGCAAAAAAGGAGGCAGCAAGATCAATGCATACATTTTTTAATCACACGGGCATGTGTAGCCTTTCAGTCTTGCAGAGCATAAACGGTAGTGCTAGCTTATGCCCGGGCATACGCTGTTCTGTGATCTTTGTGACTGGCACGTTAAACATTACCTGTTACAGGACAAGTGCCTAGCCACTGAGCAGTAATCTACACTTTGATGTCAGCTCTGCTCTGCAAACAAACGCCCTCTTCCCAGCTTTGCACGACAAGCCTCACCTCTCCTCTTTAAAAATAACTCCAGCTACTGACATTCACCCACCCAGAAACTGTTGGCAGGGAAGAATTAAGAGGAGGAACATTCTGTTTCTATGATTACAAATTGCAGAACGACTGTGGAGTACCACACCTGGAATCTGGGTTCAGCTGCCGAGCTGGCTCTTGATAGACAGGGAAACCACACTATAGGACCCAGGAGGAGCAGAACGTTCATTGGCCGAGTCACATAGTTTAGGTGTGGTACATTATTCACGCCCTGCACCTGCCTCAGGGACGGCCTCCAGAAAGAATGAAACTCTAGGCTGTCCTCCTAGCTAATTTCAAAAACACAAATCCCCCTTTCACAAACCAGTGCTTGCCCTTCCTGCCAACGGCTGCCCGGACACTGGCTACCTCAGACACACATTTGGTGAACAGACTCCGCTTGAGCTGCCCTCTTCTCCTTTAGGAGGTTGAGCTTGTGAAGGTTGCATGGGGACCATTGACCTTCTCTTTGTGAGGACTCTCGGGGAAGAGAATGGCCTGCTAGCATGCCAACACACGTCCATGCACTGGCACACTGGCACCGCCACATCCTTGCCACATCCGTCATGAGAGAGGGCCTCCCTGAGACCTCACCTCCCTAGCGGCTGGCCGTGAGGAGCCAGAAGACAGCTGCCCCTCGGGGAAAGACGATGACTCTTGTCCCATCAGGAGAAGCTCATCCCCACGAGAAGAGGCAGGGAACGATAGAGGAGCGAAGTGGGAGGGAATGATAGAGGAGCAAAGATGAAGAGGCTAAATTCAACAGCACAGATTCTGGAAAGAGTGAGGGGGGTTAGGGAAAGGGTAAGCAAATGTATGGCAAGAGAAAAGCCATACTGACTACTAGACACTAAGGGACCTTCAAAACAAAGTGTGTGTCGAGATGAGAGGTTATCCTAGTGTACTATCAGTTAAAGGCAGCGTGAACTACCCAGCTAAAAGTTGAAATCCACAATTGTTTGATTATTTTCTCCCAAGATTTTATTTAAATTCATGTTTATTAGCATACGGTGTAGAACTGGTTTCAAGAGTAGAATTTAGTGATTCATCACTTATATACAACACCTAGTGCTCATCCCAAGTGCCCTCCTTAATGCCCACCACACATTTAGCCCATCCCCCCACACACCTTCCCTCCAACAACCGTCAGTTTGTTCTGTATAGTTAAGGGTCTCTTACCGTTTACCTTCCTCTCTGTTTTTATCTTATTCTTCTTCCCCTTCCCATATGTTCACCTGTTTATTTCTTCAGTTCCACATGAGTGAAATCATATGATATTTGTCCTTCTCTGACTCATTTGACTTAGCATAATACACTCTAGTTCCATCCCTGTCATTGCAGGCAAGATTTCATTCTTTTGAAGGCCAAGTAATATTCCATTGTGTCTACCTCATCTTTTTTATCCATTCATCAGTTGATGGACATTGGGGCTCTTCCTGTAATTTGTCCATTGTGGAATCCATGATCATTTTAAGTAAGAGGTTGAAGATTAAAAGAATTTGTAAGTCAAAAGTTGAACAACTCAATGGAAGGTATTCAATCTTAGTAGAAAAAAAGGGGAATAACATATTGGCAAAATTCCTGAATCAGCAGAAGTGATCATTTTGTTAAGCTCACATCATTTTTAAAACCTATACTATCTCATTACTCAATCATTCAAATTAACAGCTCTAAAACTGGCCTTCAAAGAAGCAAACGGCTTGGTGTCCTAGTACCTCAAACCCTACAGGAAGAAAAGCACATTTCTAAAGAGGAAGAATAAACCATTAGAAATCGTCCCACAAAAAAAAAAAAAAAAAAAAAAGGAAAGAAGGAAGGAAGGAAAAAAGAAAAAAAAAGTCTTCCCACAAATTCAATTTGGTCTGAATGTTTAAAATGTTATAAAACATTATGCCAAAGTTAAACTGAAAGTAAACCTATTGAATGAACAGCCAGAATGGTTCTACATGTGTTTTCTAAAGACATAATAGCATGTATCCGGTCGACAAGTATGTACCTATTGATAAAAATAAATAAAGCCACAAATGCCTCAAAACCCATCCACCTATTTAGAAAGAAACCACTTCAAATCTGAAGTGATTATAATTAATTGGAGACAATAAAAATAGATTATGATTAATTTCTAGTATTAAAGCCATTACATTAAAAAGCAATTTCTCTTAAAGAGCTCCATGATGATGAAAAGGAAGGGGGGAAAAACAGAAAAAAAAAAGGAAAAAAGAGAAAAAAAAAAGAAAAGAGGGGGGAAAAAGACAAAAAAAAGAAAAAAAAGAGCTCAAGGATGCTCAGGTTTACAACAGACGAACTTTACAAACACAGCCCCACGTGGCCTATGCAGCAAGAACAAGTTGTATTAAGATCAGAATTGCCACATAAATCCTGCTTTCTGGACTTGAGCCTATTGGTAATTTATTTTTTGCAATTTCAAAAGACCTAGGCAGAGAGTCGCCTAAGGGGAGACACAAAATTATAAAATTTTAATGTCTGTTGGAACATCATAAAGCCACACCCCACTCAACATATTAAAAGGGAAGCATTTAGTTTCATTAATGGGATCATTTTCACTTGAAACTAGCCAAGATAAAGTAAAAACTAAGGACAAACATGAAACATCTTCTCACTGGACTGTTTGCCAGGACCCCAAGTTAGCTCTGCCACTAACCAACTGTGTGGCTTTGGAAACATTCATCGGCCTTTCTGGCCCCATTTTCCTCATATGTGAAATGAGTAGTTTCTGGATCTGCACCCCATTCCTTAGGGCACACAGGGCTCTGTTCAAGAGGAGGGAAGCCGGCCTCCCTTGACCCAACCCTCAAGACTTCATGTCAAAAGCCTGCACCCAACTTCTGCACTTCCTACTCAGTGAGAACCACAAGTAGCTTCACAAAAACAAAACAAAATGAGGGGCCCGGAAGATCTGCAATAGCTCCTTTCAGAGTCGTTTATCTACGACATGAATAAAAGCAGACACTAGTTAAACCGACAAGGCAGGATGACTTAAGATTTTCATAGTTTCCCCCAAACCCTCTCCAGCCCTTGGCCTTGAATCATTTACAAAGTAATCATGACAGGTGGAGCAATGAGGGTGAATTAGAGATGAGTGAGTGAGTCAGGAACACTATTTGCTCACAACTGAGGAAAGATGAGGAATCCACAAAAATTTACCAATATTCCTAGGATTCCATTAGTCCCCTAGGGTACCTCTATTGATTATCTACCACTACAGAACTTGCAGTTTAAAACCATAGACATTTATGATTTCACAGTCTTTGAAGATCAGGAATTCGGGAATAACCCAAGTTGGATGGCTCTGGTGTGGAGGTCTCCAAGCAGCTGTAGACATTAGGCCAGACTGCAATCACCTAGGACCTTCCTGGGGCTTCAAGGAGCCATGTCCAAGGTGGTGCACACAGAGCCGGCAAGTTGGGGCTGGTTATTGGCAGGAAGCCTGCGTTCTTTACCAAACACACTTCTCTATGAGGCTGCCGGACAGAATGAATGATCCGAAAGCAAGTAAGATGGCAGCTGTAGTGTCTCATGGCCTATCTTTCCAAGTCCTACATCATTATTTCCTGAGTCTCCTGCTGGTGACATAGGGCAGCCCTATTCAATGTAGGGAGGACCACACAAGAACAGAAAGAGCAGGAGTGGGATCTCTGAGGACCAGGGACTCTGGTTCACTCTCTAGCCCCAATGATTTATGTCCCTCCCACATGCAAAATACATGAACCTTTCCCAAAGTCCTGGAAATGCTACTCCTTTGCAAGGTGAGCTCAAAGTTTGGAATCCCATCTGAACCAGATCCAGGTTTACACACGGCTCCTCAAGTGCAGATCCCTGAGGATAGCCCTTGAACACAGCTCCTCTCAAGGTGAAAATCAGTGAACTAAAGTGACAAGTTACCCTTCCCCACACACCCAGATACAGTGGTGTAGGGTAACCTCTAGACATATTCTAGTTCAAAGTGTGGAGGATTAAGGTACACAGGAGTCACTGATCCACAGAAACTCGGAAAGGCATAGACTGGAAGGTCCTTCATAGGATCCAAGGCCAGCAAACACCCCATAGATTTCCACTTCCCTCTCTGGACAGGTGATTCCACCTCACAATCACCTTTTACTTCCTTGCGAAGTAGCTTGTGTTTGCAGGTATGTAGCTCTTCCAGTCCGCTTCCTCCCTGTGAAGGTTGGGGGAACTAAAGGTCTTTTCATTTGGTAATCCTCTGCCCTTTTCGCTCTACTTTTACAGTATTTGCTTCTGCAAATCCAATTCCCTCAATACTGTGATGAATCCTACTGCGCTTAAACACTTTAGAGAAAAGCCACACCCACAAGTTCCCACCAGAGAAGCCTTCTCCGTCTTGGTCTGCAGAGATGACAGACGGAAATCCGCTTTCTGCTCTTAGAAGCCCTACAGCTTGCCAGGACAGACTTCCAAAGTACTTCTTCGGATCTTTTCAAGATCTTAAAGGATTTCACAGCCTCACCCTCAGTTTCACCTTCAGACCTATTACAGAAGCCCTGAATAAGACCAAAATCCTAACCGATTCTGAAAAAGAGTAAAACGGTGCTCAGGGCTATAACCATAGAGGCAACAAGGGCCACACAGTCACCACCTTAAGCCAATGGCGCCAGAATGACGTCACCTGGAAGTGGGCCCCATCGCTGAACCAAACGTTCCTCAGGTGCTCACTCTGGCCTGTTACTCCCGGTAAGTTTCTATGCCTACTTCAA